AATAAACATATTGTCCCAGCGATCGAGTCTTCTTCTTCTTCTTCTTCTCAACACCACTTTTGTCCATATCCATCGGCCCTTCTCATGCAGAAGTCATTAAGATGTGGAGGCGAATTTTCAAGTTTAAAATGTATGCATGAGTGAGAAGCAATAAAACCGGTCAAGCACCAAGACGATATCATTATGCTTCTGAGCATCTGAACTTGTGCATGTTAGTGGCAACATAACAGACGATGGTATTAGCCAATCAGCGGTCAGTGTCGCAAATCTAGGCGTTACTGAAGTGGGCTTTTGCGCCGGCATCTGATCGTTTCATATATTTATCCAAGGCTCAGGCTTCAATCAATTTTTTGCCTTCTACTGCTTTTGCTGTGTTGGATTCGTTTGGCAGCTGTTACGTTTAACTACTTACTATTGTCAAAGATGTGGGCAGCAACATGTAATTATTCGCCGCTTGCGTTCGCATATGCGCGATTCGAGCATACTTTTAGTCTGACTTGTGTAGTTACAAGAGCTGTTTATGCACAGGGTGCGACACACCATCCCACACTGCTCCTTAAAGATTAGCCAGGTCGCTAATTTTCATGAACCCACTGTGTATGGTAGTATTTGCCTAACTTTTTAGTCCAAGACCTAGTCCACCTGCAATATACTCTGTCATAACTGAAACGTATGTAATGTATGACAGAGCTTACAATATCCGCGGTGGTTTTTCTGTCCTAGCCTTCCAGCTTATAAACGCCTTCGGATAGGTATACAGAACAAATTAGTCGCGCCGACATCGGACATCGTGTAACTTTTCTTCCATAACTTTTCTTTCATTAAACCGAAATCTCTGTGAAGAGCGTTCGCAAACAACGTAGTTACTAAGTAATCGGATGGTTGCAGTTAGAACTTTAAAAATGCATGGTGCTAGTAACCTTTATTTAAATCTCTATCTCAATTTTGCCGTTGAGATAGTGCCTTACAGGTAAATCTCGCAAGAGCTCCTGTTATTATTTTCTTCTTTCCCTGTAAATGACATATCATAAATCTTGAGTTGAGCAGCTTGTGGGGATTCTACATAAGGTTTTCCTGACGATAAGAAACGTGTATTCCAGATACCGGCGCTAAAAGTCTGATTGATGGCAGATAATGACAGCTCCTTAAATTTCCCGTGAGACCATTTCTACCAACAGGCCACAGACCAGGTAGACTATAAGAGTTCCGTTAGTCTGCTCATAGTTTTCGACAGCAAATTTGACGCAGTTTGTTTTAACAGAAACCGAACGATCTCTCGAGGCGTTTAAGTCTGGTTGCGCATTGACTCTTAGCATTTACCTCTTAAAGTCTCTTTCGGCAGAAGTTATGTGTCGAATTCGGCGAGATGCATATGAGTAATGATATAACGTGGAATTAGGCTATGCTTTCTTTTAAATGGATCCTACTATCTGTTAGACCGACGAGACATGAAGAGGCCTATCAGACTGAGGCACTTTAATTATGAAGAACACTTTCAGTTTTGAGTACACCCATTTGGCTTAATTATAGGTAGGGCTGCTTTGGTCGCAGTGAACCATTTGATTTAGGGATTTTTGGCACACCATAGAACTGGATCAGATCAGTGTAAGTTGCTTCCATTTAATCCTACCTATTCTCTGGGGTCACGTTTTTGTGCCGGAAGTATGTATGCGGCAGGTCGGAAAATACCTCCTATAGCTGTCACCTGTTATGTTGCTGCTGTGATTCCTGACGACGTTCTCCGTCTCAAGTTCAAAAGCTCATAAAAATTAGTTCGCTTCCTTATTCACTGATAGGTCTATGAGTATTTGCCTGCATCTTCGAAAGTTAAATGTCCCATAGATAATACTTACCATATTTTTCGTTCTTTGTTTAATCGGCTAGCAGTTTTGCAGCAATCATTAGCAAGATTACCGACAACATTAAAAATATGTCAATTCAGTTACCCTAGATAGTCTTTGAAGTTTCTGCTGACTCATCTTTAGCAGAATGCGGAAACTCACTTAAATGACATTGTCGAAAGGCAGCTCAGCCCAGTACATGTTTTTGGACTAGCCAAACGCTACGCTTGAATACAACAGTAGTCGCCAAAAATCACGCAACATGCCGACATATACGAAAGATTGATACTCTTTCGCTAATCAGCATTGACTCAAGTTGTGATACCGATTATCGTGTAGTCCATTCTGAAGTCATTTCAGTCATGATATGATGCGGGCTTTTTAACGAGCTTCGTTCTGACCACTAGCAAAACGTATCTATTGCAAAAATCTGGCTACTTAAATAGTATGCCTTTTAATCAGTTTGACTGCTTTTATAAATTCAAATATATTTTATGGAAAACATGCACGAAAAAATCATTTCATGTACTTGTTTGATAGCAAATTACACCTTTAAATTTCTTTACAACTGTTAGGTGTTCATTATGTCTGCATCACATCCGTCAATTTATTGATGCTGCCCATAATGTGTACAGCATGTTCCACATCTATTGTAACATTTTATGCGAAACATGTGACTTCTTCCGCAAACCGCAGGCGGAAACGTACGGTGCCTTGAACAGAATGTACACAGCGCGCAGTTTATTAACCTTGAATTGAAGTATAGCAGCCAGTAATATTCAAAATTATTGGGCAATTTAGAAACTTTTTCAAAACGGAAAGACACCCTTTTTAGTATACAATTTAAAGAGGGCGTAATTTCCTGAAAAGCGAGTAGAAGAAATAAATTTTTCGTGTATGTTTTCTATAAAATATGTTTGAATTTATAAAGGCAGGCAAAATCAATGATGCCATGCATACGGCACATGCAGCTACTTTTACATTAATACGTTTTGTTAGCGGTCAGAACGAAGCTCGTAAAAAAGTCGGCATCCTATAGTGACTGAAAAGACTTGAGAATAGACTACATGATAATCAGTATTAAAACCTTAGTCAACGCCGACAAGCGAGAGACTATCAAGCTTTCTCATATGCCGGCATGTTATACGAATTTAAGGCCGTACTGTAGGACGCTAGGCCAGTTAAGCTTCCAGGACCGCCCCCTCTCCACAATGGGCATACAGGTTCTTGTAGGTAGTATAAGTCGTTAGCAGCCTGTGCTAGCATTTGTCCCCAATGTAGATGTGTACGTGCAAGCGAGGTACCTAGATGAAGCGCACATGTGAACGCCGAAATGACTTGGTCATTCACTCCTCGCCTTGCACTTGTTTCCTTACTGCTGCTACACAATTTGTCTTGTACTTTAAGCGACAAAACAAATAGGCGATGTATTCCGCTGAAAAGAAGCCCTTTTTAGTTAACAACACTAAGACTGTACCAAAATATATGCAGCGTAGTTGAGTCTATTAAAAGTATCACAGTTCTGCAGACTATAGTTTTGTAGTTGTTGCATTGGGCACCAACGAGTTTAACAGAATTGTTAAGTAGTGCGTAAAATGACGAAGCTAATTCAGGCGAGGATTCATATTAGTTAATATAGCACAACTAAAAGTGAATTAATAGACAATTATATACTGTCTGGCTATTCGACCTATTTTCAGCTATTTATGTGGATTCTACTAGAAAATGGAATTTCTAGAAGAACGTTGCACAGCTTGGTTTACTCTAATCCTATTACACTGGTTTATTTACAGTTCAATTCTCCCGCTCCTTCTATAGGAAGTAAAGTTTTCTGTAAAATACGTAAACTGGGTAAGGGCAGAAGTTAGTTCTAACTGTGCTCATGGTGTAGATGGTTTTTGAGAGCTTTTCTTAGATATTTCGGTCGTCCGATGCTCCCTCTGTTCTTACCCCTGTCCTCCAAGTACATATGGTAATCTATCCGTCCTCCAAGTAAATTTTGTAATCTATCTGTTATGGTCTTCTGATAGAGTCAAAGGTGTCCCCATAGACGCACCTCATGGTGTAACTGGGCTTATAGGTATACTACAGCGCTGTTTTGTGTTGAAGAAATCTAAAGTGTTGTCAGTTGGAGAATCAAATTGCGTCTTTTCCCTAGACATTGGATTTGAAGACAATGTGCATACTTGCGAAGAAAAGACAAAATGACCTCTTTATGCAAAGTTTCCAGAATATTCTCAGATTAGTGGAGTTATCTAAAAGGAATGGAAGGGGCGCCTAATTTAAACCATAACTAAGTTTTCCTTTACAATTATTACGCGCCGATATCATGTAGACCTAGGATTATATTTCTGGATAACTAATACTGGACCGGATTTGAAGCAATCGGATTGCGTTTCATAAGTTTTGACGAATGCAGTAATTATGACACACCTCCATCAGTATTTACAGACCAAAGGTAGAAGATGGGCCCTTGTATTTTGTGAAGATAGGGTGCAAACGTTTGGGTTAACCGCCGAGTGGTCAATTACCGAAATTTCATCATTCGCGTTGGATTTTGATCCGGTAATTGCTCAATCATCTGGCTTACCAACATTGATGTTGGAGTCGTTGTTCACCTGTGCGCTTTCGGAGGGCTATTACGTTTGCCCAGACTAATCGCCAGTACTGAATGCGGAAG